TATGATTTATATATTTATGGCATATTTCTTTATACTTCCATTCACTTAATTGATACCACATTATTATGTATATCTACTTTTTTCAATAATTATATTTCATTGCTTATCAAATATCCTATCCTAATCATATACAAGCATTATTTATTGATTAATGAAATATTTCAATAGCGCAAAGCCTGCATCTAATATAGACAGATCTAGGACAGGCTTACTAAAATTATAGTTGACTAATGATACTTTTGCAGTCAATATATATTTCACACCACATGATAAATGTCTCTATTTCATGATAAATGTTCATGGCACACCAACGAAATGATTTCCCTGCTAAGCTCTCTACTTGTATCTATTATACGATTTGATTACAAATTTCTTGAAGCTTGTCCATATCCGATAAACATCATTGGCTCAAGTGAACCCCCAAACAAGTTTAGTCATATAAACAATTGTTGTTGCAACGAATGTTTAAAAATATATTTCAACAATTAGCTGCAAGCATTTGGGGCCGTCGGCCCACAGAATTTCGTTTTATTTGTTCATTGGTCTCTAGACGTTTTTTTTTTTTTTCTCTGTGTCTCATTTATTTATAGCCAAAATGTTTCGAAACCATGAATTATTGTTGCTTGAGCTACGTCAACCTATCGACTGTCATGGATATAGAATAGATGGTGAATGAATTGTTTCAAGTTCTGCTTCAATATTTGCATAATACTGAAAGACAAAAACAAAAGAAAACGAAATTGTTGCTAATGAAATTGTAAAAGCGAAGCACGCCCTCGGAACTTTTAGCGTGCCATAAAAGACTTTGCTAATTTCTGATAGCAATTATATGGGAATGTGATGTATGTATATGTATATACAATCATATATTAACATAAATCTTTATATAAGTATATAAATATATTTTATATACCTAGCTGACTCAACTTCCGACAATTTCTTTGAGATTATATTTTTTGTCAATAAATTTCGACTTCTATAACAAACAGGAACAGCCATCTATACCAAGACTAAAATGCTCGACTAAGAGTTACCCTGGGAGCACTCTACTAAGACTGACAAGAGTCAAATAGAGGTCCTACTTCAGTCCTGAATCGGAAATTTATTTATAATATATATTTTAAGCCTCCGCCTGAGCCATTAAACAGCAATATACCCCATTAGTTATGCTCAATGGCAGGGTATACAAATATAACAAGCACAAATCACATCAATAAAAACACAGCTTCCTGCTTATATATACAGCATAAGTCTATTATTAAGACTGAAATATATATATATATGTACTATGCCCATAGCTTGCCTTTGCCTTCGTCTTGTCTTCGATTTCGATTCATATTTTTTTTTTTCGGGAATTAAATTTCACTTGAGATTTGTTTTTTTTTTTTTTTTATGGATTGCTCGAGTTTTGGTCCCCATTGACCCAATTTTAATGCAATTTAAGCCCTCGTTTGTGCGCAAGTAAATGAATCGTAAGAATCCGGAACACTTTGCTCGCATTGCCCCCACTGCAGCCCCCCTCGCTCTCGCTCTGCCCTTCAACCTGGCAACCTTTGGCAAATGTGGACGCGTTTAATTGCACGCTTACACGCAATTTCCTCGCCGTCAACAACATCGTCATCATCATCATCATCATCATTGCCTTAAACATCATTGGCAACTTGATCATCGAGCGTTCGCCCGCCTGTGGAAGTTTACTTAATTGCTCAAACGGCGAGACGTTTACTTTGTTTCTTGTTTGTTTATTTATTTATCTATATGGGCGCAGGCCAAATAGGTAAAGCTGGAAATTAGAGACCGCAGACACCTGATTTCTGGCCACAACTTCTAAGTAATTATGTTTGCCCACAGTCAATATGCAAATTACAAGAAAAACTTGATGCAGGCCAAAATGCAAGCAGCTGTTGCCGGGCCACGCCGGATCACAAATATTCGCAATGCAAACATCAGGAATCGAAATTAAATGAAATGTTAGCAATACACGTTTACAATTATAAACGATAATTGCATCAGCATTTCGTTTGGACAGCTGCAAATGCCATCGAGTGACTGTGCAACTGTAAATCGAATGCAGTGGCACTCCAACTGTAGAGAATATTCTATTTGGCACTGCATTTTGTATAAGGTCAGCTAAACTGGGGTATTCCGCAAAGGGCAAGTCATAAGCAGTTACTGTCCAACGGTGTACCAATGATTGTAAAACTGTAAGTGTTAGGTTGGCCTGCCTCAATTACGAGTGCTGTGTGTGGTTTATTTCAAAGTCAGTGGCTTGCAAACTGTAAATTTAAGTAAGGTTAAGTGTCATTGGATATTCTGCAATAGGTAACTCAAAGGCAGTGACTGCAAAACCATGGCAAAAGGTCAAAGGCACTCCAAGCGTGCTTTATAGTTGCGTCTAATTGATTTATTGATTTGCGAAGTTAATGCAGTGACTTTAAAACTATGGAACAGCATTTCGATGGTATTTATAGTTGTGAAAGGGTCTATTTGAATGTGAACTTAATTTCACTGAATAAAACTTAATATGGATACGACTTAACTCGACTCTAATGACTTTAAAACCTTCAACAGTGACTGTAGAACTATGAGGCTGTTGTAGACTAGGTTGATATTAGTCGATTAGTTTCGAATATACTGCATATGTAGTTGTTGTTAGTGAAATGGAAGACAATGGCTCTCAAACTGTAAACAAGCCGTCAAACTGCAATTGCTGTAATGGAACATAATTTAAAGTCAAATCAATTTCAGCAGTCTTAACTGTCAGCGGAAAGCAGTGTCTCTCAAACTGCAAGCCTAAATTTATCTATTTGGAAAGTACGGGTTTCAAAGAAAGTTTATAAATTCATAAATTGGAATAGTAGAAATTTTGATTCATGATAAAATTCACTTGTAATCAATCGAATCTAATCTGTTGCATAATAGAACTAAAGCCAAGCTCAGATTTATCAGACGTTCTATAATTATATATCTGCTAGTCGACAAGTGTAGCGAGGGACTTGCATTTAAAAATGACAACAAAACGCTTGTGGCTCGAGCAACAGGAGGGCAATTAACTTAATTTGTTGTACTTCAAGCAAACACACAAATCACGCAATGCTCGTGGCACTCGGCTCGGGTCGGTGGGGAATCATGCGTCATATTTGATGATAAGAGCTGCGATGTGTGCTAATCGAGTTGTGTTTACAACTCGAGCAAGCGTGCTTGATGCTTAACTAAACTAACTCCATCTCCCTCTCTCCCCCTCTCTCTCTCTCTCTCTCTCTCTCTCTGTAGATCATCATGTGCACTTTGATGCGACGACCCTGAAGACTGACGACTTTGGCTCCGATAGCTGTGTGACGTATCAGCGCTCGGGCGATACGATTGTCGTGAGCCTGGGCTTTCTGCAGATCAATCATCGCTATCTGATCGATCTCAATTTGCCAGTGACGCTGTTTGAGAACACGGGAGCACCGGGCACCAAGTTCGTGCCGGTTGTGAGCGCCACACCGAATCTGCACTGCAAGATCACCGAATTTACGGGCACCAAGCACGACGAGCACGATTTCTATGAGATGAAGATCGAGTTCTTCGCCTACAAGGAGAAGCTGCTGCGCGAGGTCCTGCACATTGTCAACTCGAACAATGCCAAGGAGGTGCTGCAGCTGGTGATTGCGGCGCGTGTCCTTGGCAAGGGCAAGGGCACGCCCATGCTGCGAACGGGCATCCATTGCATAGGCGTCGAGCGGGACGACGATGATTCCGAATCGTCGGATTTTGCGGGCTTCGATAAGCCCTAAGCCAATTGACTCTGGCTACTTAGTTATGTGCAGTTATTTGCATAGTATTTAAGTCAACAACAAAATATATAGAGAACATAATCATAATAATGTTAATTTATAAACCATGTACGCGCATGTTTCATGTAAACAATTGCGATTCCATTTGCAATTATTGTTTCCCAAAATTGTATTCCCCGCCCCTTTCGTACCCAAAGATTTGCCAACATATCTGTGCGTTAATCTCCCAATATTGATTGACACAACATGTTTATGCAACGAATTGTCAATTGAAGTCCTTCTGACAGCTTGTTCGCTGTCCTTTGTATTAGAATTTACACTTGCCTCTGACATGCTATGTACTTATAGAATATCTGGAATGCCTACGAAATGCAATAAATTAACATATTTGCTCGATAGTCGTAGCTAAAATGTATAACAAGCGAATTCTGATTCAAGTAAGGGAAACCGGTTTTCCCTTGCAATTTTCCAATGATATATTTTAACTCTTTACGTCTGTGAGGGAAAGCTCTTTGAAATTCTAAACTCTATGCGTTCATTGTCTATGTTTTAAGAGCTCGAACTACTTACACACATACTTGTATATTGTACATTCAAAGTATTTTTGCATTTCTGTTAATGTTTTGAGAATTGTTATGAAAACAAAAATATATAAAGAATAAAATTTATATAATAAAATATATCTATATATATATACACATATATAAGAGTAATACGTGCACCTCCTAACTCAACTCAAAGACCAAAATTGCAAGCCTTTATTTTGATAACATTTAATATAGTATTTAAAAAATGTGTATAGAACTAATGCTCAGATCAAAGAATACTTTAACAGTGCGTTAACAGTAGTCGTGTAATGCTAATTGAATATTTAACAGTCGTTTAACATTGTTCTTCTCAATATCAATTTTAAGGTGCTCTACTTTTATATGTATTGTAAATGTTTATAACTCAATCAATCAATCAATGGAGCATTTGTTTAACAAAAAAAAATTACAAATTAATAATAATAATAATAAATGTTATGAAAAGCAATTTTTTTCAAAAAAAGAAGATATTATGTACACGCATGTATTTGAAAAGTTAATTAAATCGATGGTAAAGTAAATAATATAGCTATTTATATAAATATATATACTATAATAAATCGATAAAGTCCAACCTAGCAAGCTGCGTGTTCTAACTTCAATTCCTAAAAGACGTTTATACAAATAAAATTCTAGTTCATAATTGAAGTAAAAGACACAAAAACAGATTCGAGTTCTAGAATACTTTGAGCATACATATATCACATACAAATTGTTATATGATGGAGCGTAAACGCAAAGTGAACCCTAGACCAATGGCTCGCGCGGTGGATAAACGCATCAGGCTAGATGAGAGTGTGGAGGAGGCTAGTCTGCTGGACCTGCCAGTTGGCCCATTGCATATGATAATCTCGAAGTTGAATCTGGAGAAGCAGAAGATCCTGCGTCTCGCATCGAGCAAACTGAAGGCGGAGCATTCCGACTGCATGCTGCACTGCTACAAATCGTTCGCCTATAGGCATCTGCGCAAACCGAATCTCAGCGCCGAGCAGCAGAGGATAGACACCGTGAAGCAGGTGAGTGCCTTTGATAAGCATTGATTGATAAGGAGTTGCGCTAACTACGATGTGCTTCCACAGGTGCTCGCCCACTCGACGGACTATTTCATCAGTTCCGGCTACCATGGCATGCTCACGAGCGATCTGCTCTTCTTCTACAAGAATTTGACAAACGACATGCAGGGCATCGATGATGGCATGGAGATGAACACGTTTCTGCACAAGTTCTACACCGATGTGGAGGAGACAGTGGTCGAGTGGCCCAACGAGGCTGCAGCGCGCATCGCATTCAATCAGCGTCGTTTGATCTACACGATGATTCTGCTGAATCTACTCAGAGTGGGTCAAGTCTCTCTCTACCTCTCTCTCTTTCCATCTCTCTCTCATGTAACTTCTTCTCTCTCAGCAATTCCGGGATTTTCGCATTGCTAGCTCCGGCATGAATCTGATGCACTGGCAACTGCAACTGGAGGTGTTGGGCGTGCATTTTGCCGTACGTGACTCGGGTGGGCCGTTGTCCGATCAGGACAAACTGATGGACTTATTGACGATTATAGCCGAACTGCTTGTGATTGACAAGTTGCACACCTACGAAGCGTAACGACACAGATTAAATGCCAAGTTGAATTCACCGTTATAAACACATCTATGCTCCACAGGCGGTGCACATCAATCGGCCGCAGTATGTACGTCTATGGCATCAGGGAGCAATTCAAGCTAACCACGCGCAGCCAGATACTGACGGTCAATCTGAGCATCCTGGCGCCGTTGGCGGTGCGCGTCCTGCTCGAGAATGTGCTCAATGGCCAGGTGGATATCACACGGCCCATCCACTGTCCAATCGTCGACATGTTCAGCATTCAATTGCATGTGAAGGGCCGAAGGTGCTTCATTTGGGATGGCGCCCATCACTTGGATATCTGCGTCGCTGCACTTCACTAGCTCAACGATAATACGTATGCACATATGATACAATATCATCTTGGATGTGTACAAACAACTGAAGAAACTCGATTGGAGGAGCTCATCACATGCCAACCACACAACAAGAATATCTTCTGTGAATCAATAATTTGCCTAATCTGTTTGTAAGAGGTCAATATTAAACCTAGAAATACATACATACATACATAGTGTTTTCAATATGTATGCAACAGTTAGAAGGAGGCCTGGTAGATCCCCACTATGTATATATATTCTTGCTAAAGACGAGACGCTGAGTCGACTGTTCGTCCGTCTGTTTATCCATATAGGATGTTATCGATTTTCTTCATAACTCATTCCATTTACTTATCGATTAGTATCGATATTGCTGATCGTATTTTCTTGTCATTGTCAATTTAAATGCTAACCAAGATTATACAGCAGTATACAAAGATATATTATATATATATTATATTATATATATTTTTTTTCTTGGATTGAAAATGGGAAATCAGTGTATACATATACATTCTAGATCTATATATATTGTCTAGATCAGGGCGACGAGTTGAGTCGATTTCGCCCTGTTCGTCTGCCTGTCCGTCCGTCTGGCCATAAGTTTCATGAACAGGAAAGCTATTAAATTTCCAAGGTATCCCACACAAACGTGCATGTGCCAATCATTATTAAAATATCGGTTGCTTGTTGGTTCAGGGGATCTCGTAGTCTAGCAGTCTCGACTAGAGCTTTCTTACTCTTCTTACTTACACACAAAATGATGATCTCATCACGCTGTACACTTTTGTAAGTCCCACAATTTAGTTCGAAATGCAGTCCAAGCACAGTCGCTGCGTCATCAGCCCAGTTGTGGTTAGTATTATGTCAAATATATAGTATCAAATATATATACATATATATGTACACATACATATATATATACAGCAAGTGCACATGTCTGTTGTTTATGTCGAGGGTATCTGCCAGTCCAGCAGGCCTGACTAAAGCGCTCTTTTTTGTTTTTAGCATGAGTTGCACCAAATGCAGCGACAACCTGCCGCGGCTCAGTAGCACAGCGATTTTCGAAGCGAGCAGATCGATCTTTGAGGCAGTGTGGCATGGAAAGAAAGCTCAGTGGTAAAACGATGTGGAGCAGGCAAATACAAATACTAGTTATCAGTTTGAATATTTTGATTTTCGTATTTGTTGCCGCCGCCTTGATCTGGGTTAGTTGAGTCACGCTGAACGGCGAGCGTTAAGTTAAAGAATTGCTCTCTTTTCGCAGGCCTATATGCATGATGGGTGAGTGTGAAGGAACACCGTCATGGCTAACGATGAGTCACGCCCCATTCGGCGGTCCGAAACTTAAGCCACATGATTAAATGATCAATTCAAGCCAATTGTATTGCATTTCTTTTACTTACTGCAATAAAATTAAAAAAAAAAAAAAAAAAAAAAAAAAAAAAAAAAAAAAAAAAAACTGCAGAGTGTATCGAAGTCGGTTAATGGGAAATAAGTCTGGCTATGACAGCCGTAGATCGCTGCTCTGCATTTGAGATGCATTTCCAATGCAAAATATGTTGCTGTCTCGCTTGTGATGCACGTGCGACAATTAAAGCAATTACAGTTATGCGCGCATATTTTTTTATCAATCAATGAACAACACTGGACAACAAAAATGACATATGTACATGGTGGCCATCCACAGCTTGTGACGCGCTTGGTAAAAATAAATTTGATTCCAGGAACAACAGCAGTAAAGTGAAATCATTAACAGATCACAGTCGGATCGACTTAGGTGTGTGTTTTATTACATTAACTAGATAAGATATGAGCTGCAGTGTTGACGAAAAAGTCGAAAGAGTCAGCTCTCTCTCTTAATCAATAAGCAAAAGTGCAACAAATTACTGATAATAAGTAGCACTGAGCCGTAATATTATGGAGAATGCAGGAAAGCATACAAAGTGGCAGCAGCAAAGAGTTGAGCTTCAGCTATTAGAGGCGATAAGAATTGGGATGAGTTATTGGAAAAGAATAATACGTGCAGACATATCGTGTGAGCTCATCGAATATACATATATACTTTATCACACCTCTTGCTGCCTCTATTGCCTTCCCCTTCCTCTTTCTTTTTCTTTTGCAATGAGTTAATTTTGATTTTTATCAATAGCAAAGAAATCGAATGAATGGTATATATATTAGAGACTTTTTCGTAGCATGACTGATCTGCCACGCCCCTTGTTTGCTCAGTGCTCAGGTGCCAAGACAGCGGGAGTGGGTGGGTGGGAGCAAAGTGGACTCGGCGCTTTAAATGCTAATTAAACAGCATCGATATACGTGCAACACTGTCCTCTCCTGTCCGGCTGTCGAGGCGACTCCACTCCGTGCAACAATGAGCGCAATAACAGCTATTAATAAATATGCTCAATCAATGCGCTGACCTGCAACAACAGCAACAACAGCAACAACAACAACAACAGCTCAACGCGTGAAAATATTTGCTTAATTAAAGTAATTATGGTTTCATATATCATTCGTACAGCAATGCGGCCAACAGTCGCTGGACCAGGTCCATTCGTAATTACCTTTTGCAATAAATTATGCATTTATTATACCATTGAAAAATGATTTAACGGGCAGCGAGCGGCCAGAGGGCGGCATGTCGGCGCATTAAGTATATAGTATATATGTATATGTATATGTTGTATATATGTGTATATTGCTCAGCATCAACGGTTGAGTGGATCTACTGTCTGTCTGTCTTTCTGTCTGTCTGTCTGTCTGTCTGTCTATCTGTCCGTCTGTCTGTTTATCTATCTTTCTGTCGCCTGTGGCACAGCACATTCGATTGCTGGACGTGTTTGACCTTTAAAGAGGTCTCATCTGCATATATCATTACAAACACAATAATCCACATTATGGTAATGCAACAAATGAAACTCTTTATATTGTACATTAACAATATATATATAAAATTTTTTCACCCTCTATTGCACCTGGAATTATTTTAAGCTACATGGCATTGGTTTGATCTTGAGCTGATGGGGCTTTAAGCACTAATTCCAAGCTCTACTAATGATCTGCCTTTTAAGACTTAATTGTACTAAAGTAAGAAAGTCTAAACTAAATGGGAAGTCTGATAGGATTTTATGCATATATCATTATAATGCATATATCTATATACCTAACGTCATAAAAAATATATATATAGATGATTATAGAGATTATTTTTGTGTACTTACAGATATCTAAATATGATGTATAAGAAAAGGCAGGACAAGGCATTTGCTAGTCAGTTAGATACAAACAAACATCTATTAATATGTTACTAAGCGTGTGTCAATCACAGACACACAAAGGCACACACACTTACACACACACACATTCAGACACACATCCCTTTAGAGTTAAAGCATTCTTTGCTTTTTGGCATTTTGTATTTCTATTTGAATATATTTGTTTTGGCTGCAAACTAGTCTGGTCCAAGCTGAATACAAATAATAATAAAAATAGACAATAAAGAAAATAAATAAATAAAAATAAAGGGACATGAGCGACAACAACAACAGCAACAGCAGCAACAACGATTACAAATGTGACAAGAGAATCCAACACCGAAATGAATAATGTAAATACGCCAAGTGTACAAAGTTTTAATTGTTATCATGTTTTGTCTGAGCGCTGTTTCCTCATGTGTGCGACAGTATGTGCGTGTGTGTGTGTGTTAGTGGCATGCACTTATAGCTAAGATGTATCCATTTACGCCTGGCTAAGTTTTACGTTGCGTATACGACACATGCCCCATTCAGCTCGAAGCGTGTCTCTGTGACTATTGTCTGTCTGTCTGTGTGTATATGTGTGTGTATGTGTGCAACTGTGGTGTACTTTTGTGTATGCATAGCTATGGATTTGGTCTGAGCAAAAGTTTTTTCATTTTGCATATGTATGCAGATGCTGTGCCTTAAAGCTGCACTTTTCCTTTCCCTTTGCACTCCAAATTTAAGTACGACGAGAGCAGCAAAATAAACCCATTCACTGCTAGTTAAATAAAGCAACTGAACTATTTTGTATATATAAAATATATATTCGTATATTTTTGGGTGTATTAACTGTTATATGTTTGTCTCTGAAAGTGCAATAAAAACTCGGCTCGGGCATGAATTTATGATTGTTCTCATGAGTAAGGAGAGGATTATCAGCAACGAAGGCAGATTCTAATAGCTATGTTTCTTCAGCTTAAGCGCTGCAATACCTCTAATGAAACTGAGATCAACGATATTTAATTGATTAAGAGAGGAATCGGTAATACCATTATTATTGTAATTATAAAAATCTATTAGCAACTGAGAGAGAGAGAGGAGAAAAACTAAGCAAATACGCTCACTATGCTCTCGCAACTAATCGTTAATCGTTTCACGATGTCTCACTCTGATTTTAACTCCCAGAGAAGAGTCAGAGAGCAATCGAACGATCGGTTCTTTGACGATCTCGTTTCACTAAGCATATCAATTGAGTTTGTGAATCGAGTGAGTGCATAGGTGTGTGAATATGGAGATCGTTTGTATAGACTCTTCAAAGTATTCCATCGTGTCGATGTTTGTTTAAAGATCTTCACACGAATAGCTCAAAAAACGAAAAGCAACAAAGTCTCCTGCTCCAAGTCAGAGCAATTGGATATGATTTAAAAAAAAAGATAATTGGCAAAAATTAAATGAAATTACTTTGCAAAATAGAGCTCAATATTGTTAAAGCTTTCTTACTTAAATCGAGCAGAGAGCAGATAAAAAAGCCTCGTTTGCTCTGCTTTATTTCCAGCTCATTTATTTTTAAGAAATTCTCCTTCTTCAATTTTCATTTGGTTAACTTGCTCAGCAATAGCCAACTTGTAAATCAAAAATGATTTGCCTTATTTAACAGATTTATTGCATATGCCATCAGTGAAAACTCTTTTTGAGCAGCTGAAATCCCATCAAAAACCAAATTCAACTGCAAAATTCACAATTATCTTAAACAATTTAAGT